GAGCTTCATCAAGAGCGACATATTGCATTTTTATACCTCAATGTGATTCTATTTCCTAGTAAAAGGACCTATCTAAAAACTTTTATAGTTTCATATGTGCATTCATTTCAGGCCTGATGAAGCCAACCAGCAGAAATATGTATCGCTCGGGTTACCTATCCTATTTTCTGCTTTTGCACATTATTTTCTCACTTTTTGTTATATACCTCTCTCGTCATGCGCAAAGCCCAAAGAATCTACAAAGAAAAAATGATCATGCGCAGAAATGTATATAACAAAAAATAGGAAAATAATGGGCAAAATCCGCAAAAAGAAGGAAAGTGGATTCGAGCTGAAAATAGGATAGGTAACCCGAGAGATACGTTATTCTGCTGGTTCGCTTCATAAGGCCCGAACCATGGCCTCTAACTTTGGGAAGTTTCGCAGTTCCATATTGCCGAAGTCTTAGAAATGAGCGCGTATATACCTTTGGGGTAGGCTGGCGTCTGTTAGGAAATATACGTTGACACTCCCGGGAAGCCGCTAAAGTATTTCCATTGCAGAACTCGTACACAAAAATAATATCGGCGTACTCATCATTGCTGAATTCTATTTCACAATACCCAAAAATGGAAAAAACAACTTTTGACTTGACCGTTACAAAAAAAAAATTGTAGTAGTAACGATAACAACCGTATAACACATAACTATGACAAACTATCTCCCAAGAAAGGTCAAGATGCTATCAACGCCTCCTATTTTATTTTGAAACTAATTGTATCCCTGCTCTTCATGAATGACCTAATTTGTTTGATTTTTATTTTTACGAAAACAGTGCACTCTAGGGAAAAACATAGGAGGAATTATTTGTAGCAAATTGAAGGTAAGCTTCGAAAAATTGCGCGTTTCGAAAAAAAACGCGGCGTACTATTTTTATTTGTAAAAATAGTGCCACTAAATCCCTGTATCTCAGCCACTGGTGCACATTAATTTTTAGTAAAGACTTTTGGATGAGGACGGTTTGGAAGATATTATAAAAAATGTTTGATATTTTCTAACTTCAACCCCCTGTGTCTCCTTAATAAAGCCTAGAGAAAAATGTTACATAGAAGACCCCCTTAAAATGGGGTCCTGTGTATGATGCTTCATTTTAGGTCCCGACTTGTGAATCACCCTCTATATATATATATATATATATATATATATAAGGAAATAGTTTATTCCAAATTTGTTTAGGTTTAAGTATTTATATACAGAAAACATATCTTTCAAACTACGAGTATATGTCGACGGACCCCTGGAGGGGTCCTGAGATACCAAACTAGAAAAATAAGTATAACTGCTCGCAAGAACAGTGAAAAATTCGATTATTTGGACAAAGATACATTCAAATAATGAACCGTAATGTGGATGACTTGAAACCTCCGTGATAGCAAAAACAGAAACCAGTCTCAAAAAGGCTCGAAATGCGGTCAAACAGAACTTCAAGCCACGTTGTTCATGTTTCCACCAGTCTGAGGACGCTATATATTTTTTTTTGCACATCGATAAGTCTTTTCATCTCAGTGATTGGAACAATCGACCTAAGGCGAAATTTTTGAAAAAAATATAAAAGATTGGTCTCCTCTAGGTGACCTTGGCAACTGGATGGTTAACAAGTACAAAGGTATGTCGAGAGCGTGTCACCATGTATCAAGATCTTTAGCTAATGAAATATTTTTAAGTCAATTTTCGCATACCTTCGGGAATTGACAGTATACTAGACAACGCCTAATGTATTTATGTTGTATCTCGTTCGAATTTCGTCCATCCGAAATGAGGGTACGTCTGCGTGAATCATTAAAATATAATTAACTATTGAAAAGGTAGAGTGGAATTTAATTGGTGGACAAGAGAATCGTATTTACACGATGGGACAAATCAGCAGCTGCTGGTGTGCACTTGCATTATCATATGGATTGGATCATGATTTATTCAAATATTTCCCGGCAGTGGCTGCCATCACATATCAGGGCTAACACAGTCTAAAGTGGGCGAAAACTTCATATGTTTAGTACCTTCCAACCCTCGATCACAGTTTCGTAGTGACATACATATGCCAAGAGACAAACAGATATCCGTAAGAGTACATGATTACGCATTTCAAAAGTTGTCACCATTTGTTAACGTCAGAGACACGATTATTAGCCACACCAGAGATAACACTGTCTCCTATGATTTCTGTTGCCACAGTCGACAGCGCCATCTGTCGATTGAGCCAAACACTGACCCATAACAAACGACGATCGTTTACAGGATTCTGATCAGTGACACTTGCTCTCTCTGTTATCCTCGAGTTGCATTATTGCACTAACTTTAGTTCTGTAAAATAACTTACGACATAATACAGGGTGTAAACGTTATGGTAGTTATTACTGAAATCGGTAATAGGGGGTGTCAAAACAAGTCAAAAAGTTCAAAAGTTCATATGACACATGGTCCAAAAGTCGATAGATTTTTGTCTAGAGGGCTTTATAGTTTACAATTTTCCATGCTTTATATCGACCACAATCACCACAATCTTACTAATATTTATGATCTAATCTAAAACGTTTTTAAATTGGGTAATTAACAAATAAATATCATGCCAAAATTTGTAGTCAGCAAGTAAGTTTCATTAAATTAAATATTTAAAACACACATCAATACAGCACGTCGGTTTTTCATCACTCTTATCGAACCGGGAATCGATCGCAAACGGTAACAGTGGTTAGTATGTTGTTTTGTTTTTGTTCGCGTACGTCGTCGTGTTTATTTTTACAATGTTCTCGAGTCAAGAGTTCGCCGACATGTTGTTAGTTTACGGTGAAGCTCGCCAGAATTCAAATCTTGTAGCTCAAATTTATCACGCCAGATTTCGCCAACGGGTACACCCAGACAGAAGGACATTTGTGCAAGTGTACCAAAGACTTCGAGATACAGGAAGTGTTCAGCCCACTAATATTCGCACTCGTGAAAGACAGGTTACCGCAGAGCAGGAGGAGCAAATTTTAAATATCGTGGAAATCAATGCAGATATCAGCCCTCGGGAATTAGGCCGCAGCGTAGGACTATCGCATACTACCATAGAATCCTACGGGAAAATTTGCTTCATCCCTACCATGTACAACGAGTACAGGCCTTGTTACCAGAAGACTATCCTCGCAGACTAACATTCTGTCAGTGGTTTTTGCACAAAAACATTATAAACCCGGATTTTTTTAAAAACATTCTAGCGACTGACGAATGTAATTTTAGGCGAGACGGGATATTAAATTTCCATAATACTCACACGTGGGCCCAAGAAACTCCTCATTCCATTTGTGAACGTCATTTCCAACAACGTTTTAAAATAAATATTTGGGCGGGTATTCTTGACGATCAGGTAATTGGCCCTTTCGAGTTACCCCCAAACTTGTCAGAGAAGGATACCTGAGCTGTCTAGCCAATAACCTGCCAGAACTTTTGGAACAGACCTTCGGCAACATGCTGTCACAACGGAGACAGAATTTGTTGTTTCTTCCTGACGGGGCACCACCACATATTTTTAGAGGCGTCATTCAGTATTTGAATGAACATTATCCAAATCGCTGGATCGCTGGAAATGCTCCTGATCCTGGAAAATGGCCAGCAAGATCTCCTGACCTCAATCCGATGGATTTCTGTTATTGGGGAGAACTTAAAAGGATGGTTTATGGGGCTGGTCCAATAACTACTGAAGCACAACTTCGCGAAAAAAAATTTGATGCGGCTGAAATAATAAATGGACAACTTCGAGGACCTAGATTAAGAAGAAACTGGGTTCGTCGTAATGAAGCTTGTGTGGAAAGTAGAGGACGACATTTTGAACACCTTCTTTGGATACAAAAAAACTGCATTATGGGTTTTAAAAATAAAAACAATGTATGTATCAAAATTTCCCTATTTATAAGTGGATTTTTTTAATACGTTCAATAAACTTTCACACACCAGGTGAAGTGCTGAGACAGTTAGTGATAAGTCCGTTTTTTAAATTGTTTGCATTTCACGAGTACATTATCAAATAATGAAATAATACCTGAGAGCCAAAAATAACGAACTCCATCTTTATTTATACTGCGTAACCCCCTCTATCACCCATTTAAATAATGACTATCATAACGTTTACACACTGTATAATAAGCATGTAAGTAATTACATGACAAAAATTTGGTCAAGTCTATTGACATTCTTCTATCATATTTACCTTATCAAAAATGTTCAATCGAATTCAATTTCATAGTTTGCAATAGTTCCAAATAAATCATAAAATATATTAACACAATACACAATAGTCGTTCGAAGATATTTAACTCAGTTACATTTGAAATATAAAATCAACATCCTCGACGCCATTATTAATCCGAACAAAAGCAAGACAGGCTATACCCACCTACCTGGTTGTTAAAACTAGTCACAAATCTTTTCGCTTTTAGAAAATACAAAATACTTATAAAAAGAACGAGTTCATCTGTATACAAATGTATTTATTTTCTAAAATATGTATTGTGTATAAATGTACGGATGAAAATAAATTTATATTATCGTTTAAAACTCTTATCGCAGCAGTGGTCGAAAAAATGAACCACCAAATTTTTGTCCCAACTGGAGCAGCGGTATAAAAAACAGACCACCTTTTCAAACTGTTTTACTGACTGGAGCAGCGGCTCAAATATTGTACCACCGCGTAAAATACGTGTAGCAGCATGTGGCAACTATGAAAAGCCTAGTAATGTGGAATCGGACCACGTGTTTGTTTTTGTGTACTGAATCTTGTGCTTGTATTAACGGAAATAAAACTAAATACGCTACAAACCATTAAGGAAAGTCTTTAATACCTTGTTATCTGTAAGTACTATTAAACACTGTTTAATTTATTTCTGTAGATTAGTAAAGAACATAGATTTAATGCGTCGTCCATATTTTGTACCACCGCTCCATCATTTTCTATTATCGAAATAAAAATATTTTGTATTTTGTTACAGAAAATGGCTGGGACTGACGAGCTGCCATTTAGACTAGTAGGAATTACTAAAGAAGATCTAGCAAATTTAATTGAGGAATGTTATATAGATGCGCAATCAATTCCGTCTGGGGATGAATCATTATCCGAATCAGTGCAGGACATCCAGGAAGATTTTACCCGAGAAAATTCACCAATGAATCAAAAGCCATCAAATAGAAGGATGAGAGATCAGTGCATATGTTGTCAAATTATCATAGTCCTGAAGATCATATGGATATCAACCGCACAGAGAAAAATGGAACCATTATGCCTATACCTTGTCCAAAAGCTGTGGTTGACTATAACAATAATATGAACGCAGTTGATAAATTTGATCAACTCCTATCAAGTTATAAAATTGATCGTCAGAGCAAGAAGTGGTGGCATCGAATATTTTTTTACTTTTTGGATGCTGCTGTGATAAATGCTTATTGTTTATATAAAAAATTAGATTTGCCTGACAAAATGACGGCAAAAGATTTCAGGAGAGAAATCATTCATGATTTGGTTGCGTCCACATTAGTTTGATCGTCGCAAAGACAAGCGGAATGTAGTCCAATAATCCAAATCAAAAAGGCGAAACGACATGTACCCAAAGATGTACGTCTCAATTGAGCAGCACATCAGCCAGAACGGGGATCCAGAAGAAGAAGCGCATTATGCAGTAGAAAAGCTAAACCAGTCCGAACTGACGGGATGTGCACAATTTGCAAGGTACCCCTGTGTTTAGGCAAGCAAAAAAGCTGCTTTCAAAACTTCCATACGGCTTAGTTCAAAATGAATTTTATGTTTTTTCATTACGTTGCTAATTTTTTTAAGGCATTTTTTAAGATATGTATTAAATTATGTGACAATTTTGATGTCAATGAGATTTTTTTTGTATTCTTGGTAGGAAAATAAATACTTTTGAGTTGAAACTTATTTTATTTGATATTATTCAATTGGCGCGGTGGTATAAAAAATAGACCACCAGTTTTTTCTAAAATATGGACACTTAAACCGGAAAAAACATTTTTTGTTACATATTTTTAATTTTTTTATGCAAATTAAGTCATTTTTTGATATAAAAAAGCGTTAAAATGTTTTGCACCCGCTGGGCCACAATTTCTTGACCAAGTCTGCTCCGGTAAGAGTTAACAGTGTTAATCGATGACAAAAAATATATTATAGTTTTACTTAATTAGTAGTTCACAGTCCATTTGATTAGAGCTTTTCTCCGGTTTTCAGTTTGTTCACTGAGTTTTTTGAGAAGTATTTGTCCAAAGATAATTATCAAGGGTGGAAGTTAGTTCACCGCGATCACGCCTTATATTAAAATTGTGATTCTTCAAAATGGTACCAATTAGACAAGCCAACCTAGGTCGCAGAACTCGCAATGCTGCAAGTCAGAGATATACCTACGGGGTTTGTTCAAAAAGTATCGATCTTTTTGTGGCGTTATGTTGGTACTGATGACCTTCACTAATTATGACAATATCGCCCATTTTGTATGTTCAGTCAGTTTTCGACAGCAATTGTGCGTGGACGTGTTTTAGCTTGTCTGCGGTTTTTGTCTATACCAAAAGATGGATCAAAGAATTTGTATTCAATTTTATGTAAAAAACAACTTGAAGTGCGTGGACATATTCCAAATATTGACTGTTGCAGACTGCGAAGCTACTTTGGACAAAAGCAACGTTTGTCGGTGGTACAAAGTGTTCTCAGAGGGCCGAGAAGAGAATTATTTATTATTCATCCCAGTTAACAACTAAGACAGGACAAAGTCTGTCGGGTCAACTAGTATTAAATAAAATATAGTTTGTTTGATCCATACCATTCTTGGCAGACTACTTTATCTGCTATGGGCGCTCAAAGCAATATTTAAATGAGTTATGAGCAATTTTTATGCAAAAGCAATCAGATAAAAATATTACCGATTGACTCAGATTGAAACCACGGGGATGGATCCACCTCCATCTGGGGGATCGACAAATATCTGTCGGGCTCATTTCCTACTCATATTTTCTACTTATATTGATGACATATTCCTCGAGTTTTGAATTTCGCTGGTATGCTAGTTTTGTCTCGATCTACTAGTTGAGTTCTTCAGGCTACGCATTCCTTCAACAGGCCCGAATGCTCCCCTTCCAGGTCCCTGAAGACAACTTTCAGGGTGTTCGGCGATTCTGGTCTCTCTCTCTCTCTCTCTCTCTCTCTCTCTCTCTCTCTCTCGAGTCAGTTGCATGGCCTATGCCTCCGGCAACACCGTGGTCGTATCTTCTGGTAATTACCTGGATACTATTTTAAATTTGAACCAGGGTACTTCTCGCTGACAGTGCGTCTTTGACAATTCTTTTTATAAGTATTTGAAAAAATAGGTTAAGCTGCGCCATCTAGAATGATGAGAATCAATTATAGACATTAGTATTCGGCGCAATGATCAGATGTCATTGAAAGCAGAGTACAAGTCCTTGTATAGTGCTTACACCCCCTGGTCAGACGTACTTAATCCAAACAAAATAAGCTTACGTCCGGTACCACTTACACTCATAACTATACAGGGTAGTCCATTTATAGCGGTTCCATTCCGGTCATAACGTTTCACCCAAGCAACCAAGCAAATATAGTATCAATAGTGTAGAAATTATATTTTACTTCTTTATTCCGGTCACAGAAATTCGAGTTGTTTGGAAACGATACCACCGAATCGCTTAAACGGTAGAAACAAAGCAATAACACAATGTGCGGCATTGGTGTTTTGCATTCATCTTCTGCTAATTGTCACGTGCCAAAATCACGTAACCTTTTGGTTGTCACGTTGCAAAATCACGTAACCTTTTTTTTCTATTTATCACTTATCAGTAATTTGAATTTCTCCTCATTGACAATAGAGTGCCCATTCCTAGGCCAAACCCCTTTTTAATGATTTCATTCTTGCAAATTTAATAGTTTATTGATTCAGTATGGTGTTGACGATCAGCAAAAAACTCTGCAGTTTTTCTCCGTTAGTTGGCTTTCTATAAAACATATCTTCTTCAAGGCCACTCAAGATTCCTTCCTCTAGAACGTTACGTATTCTGGGATTCGCTTTTCAGTTTCCGTTGAGGTCGTGATGCAGGGATCTTTTTGTCGTTCTCCGGACTCCGAGATATTAGGCCCCAAGCCCCATTCATAGACTAGCACCCTTTTCTTTTTGTTGTGTAACTTAAGTTTAGTTATACTAAGTGACATATAAATCCGAACACCCAGTTTAAATGGTTTTATTTTAATAAAACTTTGCATAAGTACTTAATGAAGCATAATAAGTAAATGATAAAAATTTCAAAATGATTGCACTGCTTTAAAGCCCTTTGATCTTTAATAATGTGTGGATGCACCCTGATGTGCTACGCATTCTCCAACGCGCCTAGGCATGCTTCTGATCAGGTGGTCAATGTCCTCCTGTGGTATCTCATTCCAGGCAACCACCAACTCCTCTCGAAGTGCTTCTAGAGTCTCAGGAGGACGTTGCAAATTGAGCAATCTCCTACCCATCATATACCACACGTGCTCAATTGGGGATAAGTCGGGAGATCTTGGTGGCCATGGTAACAATGTGACATCATTATGTTGAAAGAAGTCTATTGTGACTCTTGCAACATGTGGTCGGGCATTATCTTGTTGGAAAGTTGGATCTGCCAGGGTGTCAAGATAGGGTAAAAGATGGGGTTCTAGAACTTCGTGGATATAACGCTGCGCGCTCATGTTACCTCTGATGAAGATTAAAGGTGACCTGGAACCATAAGCTATAGCACCCCAAAGCATAACTCCAAAAGTGTGATGAACATGTCTTTCAACAAAAAACTGTGAATTCCTCCTTTCACCACGTCGCCTTCTAAACCTGGCACGACCAACGTGCATGCCTAAGCAAAATCGAGACTCATCACTAAAGACAATACTGTTCCATTCCTGATCCCAGAGTGACCGTTGTCTGCACCACTCAAGGCGATTACGTCGGTGTTCTCGAGTTAAAGGGAGGACCCAGTGTGGCCGGTATGATAACAAGCCAAAACTTCTCATTCGTCGGTAAACACTTCGCATGCCAATAGGTCTTCCGTGTTCTGCAAACCATTCATTTGCAATGGACCTGGTAGTGGAGAAACGGTCCCTTAAGGCCAATAATCTTAGGCGGCGATCTTCACGGTCTGTTGTTCTACGGCGGCGTACAGTGCCCCTTGCTCTTTGCGTACGGCCTTCTCGAAGCCATGCCTGACAACACCTAACCACAGTGTCTACACTTCTTTGCACTCTAACTGCAATTGCTCGAAAAGAAGGTCCAGCTTCCCGAAGTCCCACTATACGGCCCCTATCAAACTCACTAAGTTGACGAAATCGTACAGGTCTCCGTACTCTAGGCATCGTAACCGATCGTAAAGGATGTCTAGAACTGATAAGGCTGAACATTTTTTCACTTGTTATTTAGACTAAGATAAATACATTCACCAACTTTTATTAAAACAAAACCATTTAAACTGGGTGTTCGGATTTATATGTCACTTAGTATATTTTGGGTGCTACGTCTTCCATTTTTTTATGGGATTTCGACCCTCAGCGGTAAGTTCTTTTTTATATACCTTCGGACCGCGTGTCTTAATGCGTGTCCTGATGACGTTCATTCAATATCTGCTTTCTTTTTGTCTATAGAAACAGAAGAAGACCACCATCTTTTCTGCTCCAGTCAGTTGCATCGTTGCAGTTTTACAAATTGGAAGCTATCCCGTTGAAAAAAACCCTGATGTGAACAATTTCATAGATCTTTATACATTTATTATTGCTTATTGAAGTTCTTAGAGACATCTTGATTTTATTAGACATTCTACGTATTCAAATATGGGGGCAATGCCTACATGGCACCTTGTATTATCAATGAGGAGAAGTTCAAACTACTGATAAGTGATAAATAGAAAAAAAAGGTTACGTGATTTTGGCACGTGACATATTACTTTATATTTTATTATCTTCAATCTATTTTTACCTAACGGAATACCCGCTTTCGAAGAAAAGTTGCCGTGAATAGAGCCCAGCAATATACTAAGCATAAAACAGCGACGCTGTTTCAATTTCAGGTAGTGTTGCGAAGAAATTTAAACTCTTCTTCTGATCTTGCTCTAACGAGTGCGGCCGCTTCATCATTGCCATATATCTATCCCATATTCTTCTTTTAGTCAAATTCCACTTCTGTATACCAAATACACAATCTTCTATTTTTCCATAACCTTTGCAATGTTGAACGACATTCCCTTCAGATCCACCTCCGGCGGCAAGTGACAAGGGGCCCGACAACGGGGCCCCAGAATAGAGAAAATTTATTTCGAGAATTGTGATCCTCCTGCATTACCACTACCTCCTCCCAGTTTTTCGACTATGTGGAGAGCTCCTACAGAGATTCGCTTTGGGACCCGGAGATTTCAGATCCGCCACTCTTCTGTTTCGACAGTAGAAGGCTTTTCTGGAATTTCTCAGACAAAAAAATATGGCAGTATTGAGCTAACAGCCTTTCATGCCCCCCCCAGTCGTTCGCTTCACATCTCACCACGGCATCAGACAATGATCCGCCACTGAGATGAACAAATTTAAAAGGGGTCTGACTGGATAGTGGTTATTAACCGTTTGCTAATGCATGTAGAATACGAGTAAGTTTATCAATGCTAATTAAGCATGCAATTGAAGGGTATTTTACATATCACTCATAGGTTCGAGAGATTTATTTCATGTGTGACAATTAGA